ATCGCAGGAAAGCTCATTGTCTTCGAACTTGACCGGCTCTTCAACCTCCCGGCTGCTAGCCACATGGGGGGAGTGTGGGGCAGAATTGTGCGATCGGTGAAGAACACTCGGAAGAAGGTGGTGGGTCCACAGGTGCTCACAGACGAAGCGCTTGTGACGGTGCCCACTGAAGTTGAGCACATGGTCGACAATCGACCCTTGATCCACGTCAGCTCGGAGCCGCCAGACCAAGAAGTTCTGACGCAAAATAATTTTCTGCTTGGTGGCGCTTCGAGGCATCTCGCGCCAGGGCTCGTGAAAGACAGACATGTGCAGCCGACACCGATGGAAGCATGTCCAAGCTGTGGCGGAACATGTGTGGAAGAAGTGGACAAGAGAGTACGTGCGGACTCTCATCCAGAGAAGCAAGTGGCGCAAGGAGCAGAGAAACCTGCAAGTTGGGGACTTAGTGCTGATGGCAGACCCAAACATGTTTCGGGGCTCATGCCCGTTGGCCCGCATCTGCCGCGTGTTGCCGGCAGCGGGTGGCAGAGTCCGGTCTGCCGAGCTTCAAACGGCTATCGCGAAACTGTACACGCGACCAGCCACCAAGATCTGCTTCTGAGAAGAGGAATGCAAGTGAATCTGTGCAGACGGGGAGAAGGAGGATGTCGAGAAGATGAAGGAAGACGAAGAAGGAGGAAGACGATGAAGTAGAGGACCACAAGTGAATTGAAGCTGAGAACGAGACGAATCGAGAGGAGAAAAGTCAACGCATGGCGAACGAGCGCCGTGTTGGTCGGCCTGGTCTGGCTTGGCTTATTCGCTCGGCAAATGTCTGATGTCCATGTGTGCCGCTTACTAGTGAGTAGTCATAGGAATAGCGTGTGAGAAGTTTGTCGGTCATTTGTGTGTGTTCGGAACGTACGACCGAACACAGGGGGGAGTGATGTTGCCGACAAACTAGGCAAATGTCGCGCCGCTGATGCCGAGACGAGCCGCCGCCGCGCCGCCCGTCACCCCGCCTCGCCGGTCCCGCCGCCGAGCCGGGCCGCCGCCCGCCCAGCGGCCACCTGTCGCCGCGCATAGCTTTTTTCTGAGACAGAAGCAATGGGCCGTATCGACGCCGCGAACGGCGTCCCCCTGTGACCCTGCGACCCGGCTGACCTGTCACCTGTTCCGAATGGGGCCGGCGGGGCCCTGGGCCTGGGAACTGGAAGGGTGTGTGAGGGGACGCGGCGTGCCGGCCGCCTTTTTTGTGCTCTGCGTCACGACCCCTGTATCGAGTGACATTTTGGCCACGTATTTGAACCGATACCGGGCTCTGCTCGGTCTCACTTCACTGTTAGTCGCCGACGAGTTCACTTCGCTCTCAAACGCGGACGGTGGCGCTCTGCTGCCGCTCACGTCTAACTTTTCTAACTACTGTGTCTGTGCTGTACTGCTGCCATCTCGCCGTCTTCGGTCAATAGCGAACTCTTCTATTTGGAAGACTGTGTTTAAGTGGTGGTGGTGTGAGTGAAACCGAAGTGGCGAGTGGAGGAAAGGAGAGCGGCGCGCAGCTCACAGTTCTCACGGTGGCCGGGTCTACTCACTATTCCTATCAATCCTCTGTCATCCTACATAATATGCATGCCGCGAGGTGTGCTCCTTATGCGCTCTGAGACGGGCGCTGTTGAAAGAACCAACATGCATGCCGCGGGGTGTGCTCCTTATGCGCTCTGAGACGGGCGCTGTTGAACGACCCAACATGCATGCCGCGGGGTGTGCTCCTTATGCGCTCTGAGACGGGCGCTGTTGAACGACCCAACATGCATGCCGCGAGGTGTGCTCCTTATGCGCTCTGAGACGGGCGCTGTTGAACCTTGATCCGTAAATTATTCATCCGTGTTTATTTATTTACCGATTAGATACTTCCCTTCTTCATTATTCGTTCACTGCCTCTAGTAATCCTACATCCTCTCACAATTCACCCCGGCCGCCAACCCGAATGCTGCGAGACGTAACAAACACACTATACAGTCCACACAAGAAAGCCAGAGACGTCCGCAACACATGGTACGACCTCGAATCGAAAGAATCAAGGCCCCTGAAATCTTACTAAATTTCACAAGACAGACAAAACATTGAACAAGGACCGGTCTCGCCACCTTCCAACCTGAGCACTCATTGCACGGCGCATCTGTGGCCGCTGTCCGAGGACGGGTGCACTGGAGAGAGCAGGGGACTATGCCGCCGCGGTGGGCGGACCGGGCGGCAGCTGGTCCGCGCGGCCCGGCCTCTGGCGCCGGTCCGCCGCGCACCTGCCGGCCGGGCGCCAGGTGCCCCGCGCCGGACCGTCCCGCCGCCAGACAGGCCCGTGGTTAGCCCGGTGACCGGTGGTTACCAAGACAGACTCCGAAAGCCTCTCAAATGGACGCCGGAGCGGCTCCCGACACTGGACTCATCTCCGGGCGTCATTACGGCGACCGCTGCACCTTCCGGCGGGCAGCGCCGCAGCGGGGCCGGGGCAGGTGCGTGCCGGCGCCGCTCCCGCTGATTGCGCCCAGATTAGGCGTCCGGCACCGCCACCACGCCGGGAGGCGGGAGGTGGGCGGCGCGATCGTCCGCCCCGGGTCATTACAGGGACGGGAGAGCGATAGCAGCGAGCGGCGAACGCGTGCCGCCGGACGCAGTGCGCACACCGCACACCGCACAACGCGCGGGGCGGCGACCGATAGTGGGTGGAGCGGCACTCAGATGCTGTGATTGGAGGGGGAGATACGGGCAGACAGGGAGGCGGGCCATGGAACGGCACAGGAAGATGGTGCGACTGGTGTTGGACATAACCATTCAAATGCCATGTTTATGAGTTGATGCTCAGAACGTAATAAAAATGTGTTTCCGCCCTTCAACAAATATAATGACGACTTAAATGTTATGTAAGGTCGACTCGCGTAAGATGCGAGTCCCGTCGCGACCGCATGCCCGCATGCTGGGGAAAAATTACTTCAGATTCAGTTTGAAATCACTCCCCTAGGCCCTATTACCGTCTCCATGGCAACTGTCGCTGACCGATGCGCGTATTCTATTCGACGCCATTTCGCTCCGTTTCATGTAAGATGTACAAATTCAAACCACTCAATGACAACTCACAATAAGGGCAGCTTTCACGCCAAAAATGCCGAAAATAAACGATCAAATCGACTATAAACGTCCAATTGGCGACCGATGAATAACAAATAATGGATGGATGAATGAATGAACGAACGAATGAATGAGCAATGGATGAGCGCATCACGTCATGCAAACGGTGACCGTCTCGAGCTGTGGGGGTGAAGGGGGGGGGGGGCTAGAGGACACCTCCTTAGCTGAGGGAGACTAGGTAATTGGGGACAAATACAAATATGTGACATTGACATCTCCCTGACAAGGATAACGGGACGATTCGAGGTCCAGCGAAATCTAGTTTCACGAGAGATGGAGAGCGGGAGGACAAAATCAGGTTAACGAAATAGACAACGCCGTTTTATACACATATAAGGTGACCGCAACTCCAGTGAGTTTCAGTCGCCGATCGGTGGCCAGATTTACGACCGTTCACCAACCGACCCGCCCAAAACATTCCCCGCACAACGAAACTCACCCGTAGAGAAGCGCAGCTCCGGCGATGGCGCCGCCGCACTGGGCCGTGATGTAGAGCAGACATCTGAGCGGCGACACCTTGCGCGTGGCGGCGTGCGCCAGTGTCACGGCCGGGTTCATGTGCGCGCCGGAGACGCGCCAGAAGCACTGAGTGAGCGCCGCGGCCGCCAGACCGGCCGTGAACGCGCCGGCGAACAGACTCTGCGCCGCCCAGACCGTGTGCGTGCTCCACGGCACGTTGGCAGCGCAGATCAGGAACACGAAGAAGAACGTTGCCATGCACTCGGCGATGATGGCGCGCCAGAACTCGAGCCGGCGCACCTCCACGTGCATGGGCAGCCGCGCCGGCGGCGGGCTCAGCTCGCCCTGCACGTGGTCCAGCTTGTCTATCAGCGTCAGGATGTGGCTGTCCAGCGTCTCCGCTGAGAGAGACGTGATGGTCATGGTGGCGACTTTGACAGACAGGAGACGAGATACACCCGGCGCAGTCCGCAGAGTTCAAAGACGATGAATAGTTCCGCCAATCGCGAGCATCACACGGGACAGTGACTTGGAGTTGGCTTCTTTCTGCACTGAATGCGCTGCTGCGAAGACCTAATCGTGCAAAGTTCACACGAGCGACACTGTTCCCACCGATTCACGTCGGAGCCCCCGTCACACATCCACCCTCTACGCTCGCGCGCGACCGACTCCCGCGCGCTCTCCCACGAGTCCCCCCCCCCCCCCGAACGGACCGACAGCTAGCGCCACCACCGGCGCGGCGGCCAGAGTCGGAACTAACAGTGGAAGACTGGCTGAGTGGTCCCACGAAACGCCGGCTGTTTATCACAATTTGTCCGGCCGCTGTCTACACGGCCGATGTTTTGAATTTTGATCAGACGGCCCGGCAACTTGAAATATGTAACCAACCCCCCCCCCCCCACTCCCACATGCCCCGGACAGTCCGGGGCATGTGGGAGTGGGGGGGGGGGGGGGTTGGTTACATATTTCAAGTTGCCGGGCCGTCTGATCAAAATTCAAAACATCGGCCGTGTAGACAGCTCGCCTTCGAATTTGAGCGGGACATTCGACTCGACGCGGGTCATGAGCGTGGGAATCGCGGGGATGGGGGAGGGGCGGTCAGGGGGCGTGGTCCCTCCACTCACACGGTGTGTATTGTGTGACTTTGTTACGCCAGTCAATGCGAAGGCGGATAAATGCGTGGCCGAAAATGGGAAAAAAATATCAAATTAAGAAATTCACGTTTTTCTGCGTGGGGTCAAATGAAGGCACGTTCAAACGTAAACGTAGGTAAGCAATATTCAATAAAAGTTTGAATGCGAGAGCCTGGTATCGTCACCGCTAATCGTATCACCGTGGTTCGTTTCAACGGTTACTAAAGCCCCTGAGAAGAGAAGTTTTGGGCAAACAATATTTATTCAGGCAGCACTCGCATCCTCTTGGACCCTATGCCGAATTCTATCGATACAGGAGCCAAGTCAGATCACCGCACACAGCGGAGCAGCTGACTAGCCTAGGTACACGTCATTGCAACGGAACAAAACACATCCGAGAGACACTTGTGACTCACGCATAAATCTATACACTAAATCACAATGTAGCTACGTCATCGTAGCAACAGACAACACAGGCTAAGCATACATAATTACATAGTCGCAAATAAAGATAATTTCATATATCGTCCTACGCTAAATAATAAGCAACTGACCAGGAGCGTTCGCGTGTCCAGGGCCGCGGCTCTGGCGCCCGAGGCGCGAGGTCGGTAGGCCCGGTCAGGTCGGGTCAGGCGGGTCACGAGGGGTCAGACGGATCTCCCCACAGAAGGGCGCCTCTCGGGTATCGAGAGAGCCGCGTCAGCGTCAGTTGACGCAAACAGGCTTCTCGGAGCGCGCGGTAGCGAGACCTAATATCAGCTACCGCTATATCCTAAAATAAAGTGGGGAGAGTCCCACCGGAACATTGTCAGCATTAGAGTCGATAGGACAGCTTTTTTCAGCGCCTCAGCGGAACACACACTGATGACTCGTCAGATCGGTTCATTAAAAGCAGCATTCGCAGACAGCTCGTCCGAGAGCGTTGAACGAAGCGGAGCACGCCTCTTTGTCTGTAGCTGAGGGCACAGAAGAGGAGAGGAGTACCACTGCTGTCGCCAGCACCCGCCCTCGAGACGCTATGATAGAGCGAGGATTGTCCATACAAGAGACACCGTTCGCGGAGGACGCCGGTAACGGAGAGTGCCGACCAGCACAGGTCCAGTCCGGCCGTGAGAGGCGACACAGCGCCCCGGCATGCACCGAAAACACTCACACTGCGACACACAAACACTCGCACACAGACACGAAAACAACGCCTATCACGCCGACCAACAGGCCCACAGGTTGATATGCATCCATTTCCCAAGCGAAGGCCTCGTTTAGGGTTAATATGTGAGCAGGTCTATGAAAAGCCGCGATGCTGCTGATCGCACATCTCGCTACAGCTTTAGTTTCCCTAGCTAGCCTTGTATTGCTCATACACCTGTCACTTTGAAAGCTAGCAATAACTGCCTCTACAGGATCTACAGAGCTATGTTCACGTGAGATTCTAAATGCACACAAACAGTACAAAGTCTGCTCACTAGGGCAGCGCGCCTGGCCGCGGGCTGCCTCGGATGGAACGCTGATATGTTGAGTTCCTTCAGGGTACGGAGGGATCGCGCCCACACCTCGCACGCAAAGGCTCGGCTCCACGGAGCGGACACCGCACGCGGAGGCTGTACGAGCACCGCGCGAGCCGCCGCCGTGGTAAATACAAACACTGGACACGGACACACGAGTCTCAGCTGCCGGTAGCACGGCGACGTCCCGGTATAAGGCAATGCAGGGTCGCAGTTGGGACTGGGACCGACCGAGCGGTCTGGACAGGGCGGTCAGTCCACGGGCAGAGCTGGACGAGCCGACCGCCGCGCCCTCGACAGGGAGGCAGCCCCGCTCGCCGCCGGATCGCCAGTCTCCAAAGCGCCGGGCCGGGCTGGGTGGGTCTGCACGGACCGCAGTTTGATACACGAGCCCGGTCGGTGACGCCGCCGGCCCGCCGCTACAGGCGCAGATCGGGCATACTCGGCAGCGCGCGGTCACATACTACAGCTACAGTGGACGGATTCAGACGGCAGCCGCCGAGCCGCTGACTGCTGGGACAGCGCCGACGGAGCGCCGCGGAGCGTCCCACATCAGTCAGAGCCAGCGGACCGCGGGGCGGGCGGGCACGACCCAGCCCTCCCTCGGCCCACACCGGCTGAGCCCGCGCGGACCGACCCGCGCTAAGGCTCTTACATGTATGGACTATGGATAGGAACGCGCCCGAACAACAAACTCAGGCTGCCGATCTGACTGATTGCCGCTTCACACACGGAACATAGGTTAGGGCATGACAGCTACCCACGCACGTACTGGTAAATAAAACAGCAAGGCTCACGCCTGCCTTATCTTTGGTTAATCAACACAAGCACATTACTTTTTACAGCAATACGGAATGGATGCAGTTAAATCGTCATGAATCCGATGGAAATCAGCGTACCGCAACGCTGCGTTTCAGCATTTTAGCTCGACGATCGGGGCATTGTTCACTGCTATTGCAAAATGCAAAGCACTAACGTAGAATGCCGATAGTGTCACCTGACCAAACTGTGAGCTGACGCGTCCAAACTCGCGAGGAGACACCGCATTAGAAAACACACAATGACACTGGTCTAGTGATAAAGGCTGGCGTTGATATGCTGTGAGTAGTTTCCGAGCCCGGAGAGCTCTGGACGGGCCCGGGTCACCTGATACGGCGGCAGGGTCCCGGGCGAGCGGGTCCTGGGGGCAGTAGCGCTGCCTCACCGGCCGGGGCAGGCGGGGGCGGTCCGGCACCTCACCACTCCCATAGGTGGCGCTCAGCAGCAGCGGCCGACCGCAGCGCCGCCCAGCGACAGAAGCGTGTACCAGCTGCGAGCTGACCGACAGCGGTCGCTGTGGGTGGACTTCAGGCTCAGTCCTGGTTACCTGAAAAAAAAAAACAAGCCAGGTTAGACTCAAATAAAACTTGGAATCGAGAAATATAGCATAAAATGTCCTATAAATGGTCTTGCTAGCGTTACAGACATGAAACCCGTTACGTTTTCGGCTTTTGCTTCGTAAACATGCTACGTGTGTTTAAGTCGAGTAAATTCCAGGGACCCCTATCAGTTCCCGGTGCAACTTAACAATTGCCCTTCCGTCGTTTCCATCCTCAGGATGTTCAAATCCTTCTCCTCCACGCCGCAACCCTCGGTCCGGGCTGGACAGGCAACTTTATCTCATTCGGGCTGCTCCCTTGGAGCGGCACCGCACCGGTAACGGGGGCACGGCGGACGGACAGGATTGGCCCGACGCTCCGGGCTCTGGGATGGGAGCGGGTGGAGCGGTTGGTCGAGATGAAGGACGCCATCAAACTTCACAAGCTCCTGACCCAGGAGCTCGGACCACCAGCAGTCCGATCTATGTTCGTGGCCCGATCGGCTGTCTCCCACCGCTCCACCCGTTCCACCGAGGCGGGCCGCCTTGAGCTGCCGCGGTGCTGGCTGGTCGGCACCCAGCGCGGATTTCGTTATCGTGCCGCGGCAACGTGGAACATGTTGTCACCAACTGTCACCAACATCAGATCTGCCCGAGAGTTCAAACGCGCTATTCAATAGAAAGTACGATAGATCTCTCGCTACTATTCGTCACTCAGTGCATTCATTTTGTGTTTAATTTTCATGCAACACAATGTGCGAAGTCTTCGCTTTTAGCCTCACATTTTAAACCTTCACCTTTTTATGTATTTTATGAATATGGCGAGTGTCTGCTCTAATGTCACGTTTTATTCTGTCGTTTTATGAGTGTGCTATCTTGTATTGACGCAAATCCCGAAAAGCCATCATGTGGACGGATTTTAGATGAATACATACATACATACATACATACACCCGTAGCCGGGTGAAGAGAGTACTTGGGGGGCTGGGCGGCCTGCCCATCTGGACGGGCTCAGCCCCGGTGACTCTCTAGGGTGCCTGCCCTGACCAACGTCTCCCCTAGTTCCTATAATCCTTTCGGCTCTGAAATGGTCTTGTCAGACAGAAAGGGCCTGACCCAGCAAAACAAACAAAAAACAAACAAACAAACTTCACAACCATCCACCTTCCTTTCTCGAGCCGAACACTACTCACCATTGTCCACCATTTTCGTCTTGGCGTACTCGATGCGTATGCCGCCCCGCTCCGGGCAAAGCACGATGCCCTGGAGACGCGCCATAGCCAGAGCCGCCTGGGTGGTGTCCTGGTACTCGACAAACGACACTGGCGAGCCGCCCTTGGTGAGCATCCGCAGCCGAGTGAACCCGGCCACACTGCGGAGGGAGGGGAGGTCAGAGGCCGCCTGTGTCGGTTGTCATTAAGCGGCGTGGTGCGTTAGAGAGGATGGAGGAAGGTAAATGGCAGCAAGATTACCTTACTAATACATACACTGGTAAACTGACGCTTCAGAGACAAAGGACTGAGGAGCCCATCGGGCAAACGGCTGATCTCAAGATACCAATAAGCAACAGCTACGAAATTCGAGGGCACATCCTTTTTCAAGCCGTTAAGGTCCACGATTCACGAATATTTGTTTGGCAGCAGCGCGTTTGCGCTTGGGAAAAGCACGCGCACATGACTTGGATCAAATATGAGCGAGACAAAGCAAAGTCCAGACGAAGAGGACGCTTATTCTTATCAGAGCTCATGGGCCCGAGCATGAGGGTAACTTTTTCGAATCTCGCTATAATATTCTAGAAAAGAACCATACGAGCCATACCAAACAATGGACCCGGTAGGTGGCGCCACTGTCGTCCACAATAGGAGCTGAGGTTGAGGGCCGGGCGGCGGATCGGACTCACGTGCTGAACACCTCCTTGAGCACCTGTTCGGTGACGGTCTGGCCCAGGTTGGCCACGAACAGCGTGGAGCACGGCGTGTTACCGGACAGAGGGGCCGCAGACGGACCCAGACCGGCGGCCGAGAGCAGCGGCAGGGAGCCGATGGCGCTCAGACCGGAGAGCTGCAGCTGGCTCTGAAACGGACAGAACAGACAGTGAGACCAGACTGACTAGACAGAACAGACAGAACAGAACAGACAGACCAGACAGCAGCAGCAGAGAGCCGATGGCGCTCAGACCCGACAGTTGGAGCTGGCTCTAGGACGGACAGAACAGACTGTGTCGGTTAGTACAGACCAGACAAAATGGACAAACCCGACAGACATGAGGGCTGAAGCTGACCCTGCCAGGAACCAGACCAATAGACATGACAGCGGTCAGTACAGGTCAGTAAAGAACATGTAAAATGTTTCAACAGACCGGACAATGGGTCATTTCGGACAGAACAGACAAAATGAATGTTTCCAGCAGACCAGCAAAGTGAGTGACAGCACAGGAATGGAAAGCTTCATATAAAAAGCACGGGCCACCAAACACAACAGACACTGACTCACACCAAAGGCAGGTCTACATGGCGGAACAGTTCAACTGCACGGTTGGCAGCGACACGGCCTATAGCACAAGCGGCATTTTGACAACCGCGGGTTTTCCACTGTCCAATTCTGGGGAACCCTTTGCCACATCGCACCCATGGTAGCAAATCCATTGTCGTACCGAACAATATGGCACCTCCCACATACAATACCAGACCGACAGAGCATACCACAATGCCCACAAGTCAGACCGATCGCGCCCCTACCCCGTCTCGCATATTGCACACAGGTGCATGCATACCGGAGCCCCCGCCCCCGCAGAACGCGTGTCACCACTGTGCCGACCTCTGTACAGATTGCGTGTTATTGCAAACAGAGCCGGAAATGGTGACAGCGGTGCACGGCAGACGGGAAGGGGAGATAGGTGGGTTGGGAGGGGAATCATCAGCCAGGAGGGCGGCTAGTGCGGGTCCTATGCCACTCAATGTCCCAGCCATATCTGTGTTGGTCAATCAGCAGAAGTTCACCCTCCTATCAGTCACCCAGCGCCGTAATCGCCACGCCATATGTGAAAGGTTTTGGTGTCAATACATACATACATATTACATACATACAGTCAACATGTTAAGCCATCGTCTTAAACCCGATCAAGTCCTTGGTCACCGCCCGTCTCCAGTAAGTCAGCTGAACTGACCGTACTGAGTCTGGCTCTATCGTCCGTCTCCCACAAAGGTGCCAGCTCCCAGTGCAGACTACGTCACCCACTCCTATTCGGCTAGTCCATTGAGGTGGTCAGTGCCATACGTCTAATCTGTCCCGGTGAGGACAGAACGTCTGAACGTCTCGGTGAGGACAGTGTGGTCTGACCGTCCCCGTGAGGACAGTGTGGTCTGACCCCCCCCCCCGGTGAGGACAGTGTGGTCTGACCCCCCCCCCCCCGGTGAGGACAGTGACTCTCAGTGAGGACAGCATGTTGTCTATCTGACCCACCCCGGTGAGGCGTCCAGCGCCGTCGGTCTGATGGACACCGCCGGTCGATCGAAGCCCCACTCCAGCCAGGGGAGCCGCTCATTAGTGTGCTGCGATCGATCGACCGGTCCACTGTGCACCGCCCCCGCACTGACCGGCCACCAACCGGAGCAAACTGACCGGCCACCAGCGAGCAAACTGACCGGCCACCAGCGAGCAAACTGACCGGCCACCAGCGAGCAAACTGACCGGCCACCAGCGGGCAAACTGACCGGCCACCAGCGGGCAAACTGACCGGCCACCAGTGGGCAAACTGACCGGCCACCAGCGGGCAAACTGACCGGCCACCAGCGGGCAAACTGACCGCGCTGACCGACCGATGGGAGACCAAACTAACCGTACTGACCGGCCACCAGTGGGCAAACTGACCGGCCACCAGTGGGCAAACTGACCGGCCACCAGCGGGCAAACTGACCGGCCACCAGCGAGCAAACTGACCACACTGACCGACCGATGGGAGACCAAACAAACCGTACTGACCGGGCGGGCGAGCTGACCGGCCACGAACGAGTGAACTGACCGTACTGACGGGGCAAACGAACTGACCAACCGACCGACCGGCGACAGCATTCACCGACCCACCGTCGAGCGACCGCAATGACCGATTCGTACTCTACCACACAATTATTGTGACCTTTGTTTCTTTATAAGTCGCCCATAAGGCAGGTATCCGTTCTCTTAACTAAAGCCATTATACTTTACTAATAATTATGGTACAAAATCAAATTTAATCAAGTTGTTTTTGCTTTATGTGAATGTATACCGGATCCCTGGCTTTGAGGCCAGAATGAATCAAAAAAGGTGTTCATTCAAGGGGCGAAACCTATGCTAGAATTTTACTACTCGATTGAAAGCAATGACCTAGGAAGTAGGAAGACTAACTTTGTATCGTAAAACGGTCATCTGCTATGCTATCATTCCCATAAGCCTCATGTTCCTTACTGCATCTCAAAGTTTAAGGCAGAGAAACTGTCACCTCCCGGGGCGAATTATGCCCATACCGCCCCCAGGGAGCGCAGAAACCACATCATTTGCTCTGCGAGCCTCGCTAAATCCCTTAATAGGTCCAGAACACGTCTTCTCCTAAGCCCACTGGCTAATCAACAATCCAACTAAGCCATCCGCGTTGGAGTAAATTACCGTGTTCATTAGTTAACCCCAAACGATGTAACAGAAAACCAAGCGGCAAGCACAAATTAGATTAATTCGGTATCTACCCCAGTTGCGCACACCGAATCAGACCCAGAGGCCGGTGTTGGACCCAGGGCTCCTCACTGGTGTTAGACCCCAGACTTCTCACTGACCGTTGCGGACCGGGGTCGGTACCTGACCGGAGGTAGCCGCATTAACTATTCAGCGCGGCCGCCGGCGGACCCCGTCACCGTCACGCACACGCGCGCACCGATCAATGATACGCGGACGGAAGCCACACAAGGCCGCCGGCGGCGCGGGGGCAGAAATCACAGCCGCAGGGGGCACAGTCAGAAATCACAGTCACAGGGGGCACAGTCAGAAATCGCAGTCACGGGGGACAGTCAGAAATCGCAATCACAGAGGGGACGCAACAACAAGAAATCACAGTCACAGAGGGACAGAGTCAGAAATCATAGTCACAGAGGGGGCACAACAGTCAGAAATCACAGTCACAGGGGGCACAGTCAGAAATCACAGCCGCAGGGACACAGTCAGAAATCACAGTCACAGGGGGCACAGTCAGAAATCGCAGTCACAGAGGGGCACAGTCAGAAATCGCAGTCACAGAGAGGACACAACAGTAAGAAATCACAGTTACATGGGGACACAGTAAAAAATCATAGCCCCACAGAGGGGCAGGGCAGAGTCAGAAATCTTAAAGGAAGACTGCCATCTTCAAAAAGTTTTCTCAGATCGGCCTATGATTTATTCCCTGGACAAAACAAAATTTTAGAATTCACCTGACAAAGTATCATCACGTGAATCGCGAAAAAATTGTCGATTATCATACAATTATCAATCGGTTAATGTCTAGCGACAATGTTTACACATCACTAGACTTCAAGGTCATAAGATTATTACATTTTATTTGAAAAAGTAAGGTATTTTATGATTTACTAATATATGATTTCATAAGAAATTGGCCATGTTTAATTTATTTTGCATTTAAGTTCGTAAAACATTTAAAAATCATGGCTCATTTGGAATGGGTCTGGCCCATGTTAAACCCCATTTCCCACACTTTTTTGAAAAAATGAACTACTGAATATATAAGTTTAACTTTTATTTTGACACTCCAAAATTCTTCTCTGATCTCTAAACAATCAAAGTTTTGACATATATTTACCAAAAGATAAGAAAATTCATGTTTCAAAGTTATCGATAAACAGTAGAGATGTCGGTTTTCTGGGACTAAAAAAATGGCATCAAACTGAACTTTGGTCTCCGATTTCTCGCAAACGGGTTCGAATTTCGGAAAACCGACTTCAGTCTGGGACATAGGTGGCTCAGCTCTAGTGAAAACCGTTTTGTGGAAAAAAGGTGGCAGTCTACCTTTAACCACAGAGGGCGTAATGCAGGTGAGCTATGGTTCAGGTGCGTAAGTGGGCTACTTTCGTTAGCAGTTTTAGAAACGTTGCTGAACATATGCGCATGGATGCATGGGAACGATAGACGAATCATCCCATCGTATTTCACCCAAAATTAGCGGAAACTGGACTGGGCTATCTTTGTCGTATAATTACCGCCGAAGTCACTATATGACCATATTTCATTGCTCTGCCAAGCTCTAGGAGAGGTAAGACGACCACTCATAACCTAATTCACAGTCGTGCCACACACTAAGCACCCGTGTCCAAAATAACTGACTGGTAAGCCGACCCGGGCGGTGTAGCACCACTGAGCGCTGGACGCTGGGCGCCCCGCGGAGCACCGGCCCGGCGGCCCGGCACGAGATCGCCCTGTGCGTGCCGGGTCATACCGCCAGCTACCCGCCACCCGTGCCACAGAATATCGGGTGTCGATTCAACGGAGGGCACGGCTCACCAGCGCAGAGGTAGCGGCGAGCGAGAGAGAGGAGAGAGAGAGAGAGAGAGAGAGAGAGAGAGAGGGGAGAGAGAGAGAGAGAGAGAGAGAGAGAGAGAGAGAGAGAGAGAGAGAGAGAGAGAGAGAGAGAGAGAGAGAGAGAGAGAGAGAGAGAGAGAGAGAGAGAGAGGCAGAGAGCTGACGCGGCTGGGCGGGTCACGGGTCACCCAGTGCCAGTCGCCGACCGACCGGACGGTGCGGGGATACAATGTCAGCAGAAGGCAGAAACAATGTCAGCTGCCATAAGTGAACCAGGTCCATTCTGAGCCATTAAAACGGCTACTAACGCCACCAACAATTTAATTTCCTCTTCTTACCAGACTTGAAGCAAATAACTGAGCTCCAGTGGCAACAGCTCGAAAGTCATACGCATGCACTTGAAAATCGTAACTGTTGTCGTTATTGAGTGGCTTTAGATCGCTTTAGTGACTGTTTACATAATGGTGCAGCACCAAACAAAAGCGTTGGTGGTGTCGACAACATTGATTCGGATATTCTTTGACCCCACTAGAATATAACTGCTATTGGCATCTAGCAATCACAATAAGTTTCAAACTTGTAATTCAGATTCCCTGGGAGCGGCCGCAGTCGGCTCCAGTCCAATGCGGAGCGGTCCCTGGCGGGCGACTGGACTGCGTCTGGACCAATGAGGTCTAATAAATGATCCACTGCATAGTGCATTCTGCAGCCGGCGGCCGAGAAGGGATGAGTAGTGAGCGCAGCGCGGCACGTGGGAGTACCGAAGGAGCACACTTGTCAGTGTGCTCCTTCGTTGACATGTCCGCACGGCCATGTCAACGTGCGGCACTTGGCGCCGGCGCACAAGATAGACGAGATCCGCCTAATGCTCAACAGCCACAATCTCGACATCCTGTGTCTGACGGAGACATTCTTGTCGTCGGACATCAGCGACGGCCTCCTACTGTTCCCGTACGTTCCCGTACGGTGTGTACCGACGCGACCGTGCCGTGCCGCGACGGGGCCGCACACAGGTGCGGGGCGGCGGCATTGTCGTGCTGGTGAGAAGCGACATCGGCGCGTGCGAGCTGGACGTATCGCCGCCCGGTGACAGCCGAGTCGAGTTCCTCTGGCTGGGTGTGGCGTCGCGGGGTCGGTCGGCGTCGGTCGGGACCGTATATCGGCCGCCGGACGGCGCGGTGTCCAGTGACGTTGATGAAATCAGAAGGCAGCTCGAACTAATGATGGTGAGAAAGGGACCATTATTCTTACTCGGAGATGTGAACTTTGATGTTTGCTGCAGCAGCAAGCCTGGTGTAGTAAGCTACTTGCGTATGCTCAGTGACCTGAATCTTCATCAACTCATCGACAAGCCAACTCGCCCGGGAGCGTCCGGCCCCGGAACCGCCATCGACCACATCATCACAGACACTGCCGGCCTCCAGCGGTGCGCGTCGGGATACCGACGCACGTCAGCGACCACGACCTGGTGATGCTGGACGCGCCTCTACCGCGAGCTCGGCGACCACCGCGCACGGCCACCGTCAGGTCGCTCCGTAACGTGGACTATGACGGGTTGCGATTGGACCTTCTAATGGCGAACTGGGAGCCGGTGTACCGAGCGACATGTGCTGATACCAAATACGACGCTTTCCTGACTGTGTGGAATGCGTACATTGACCAGCACTGTCCGCTCAAGACCGTGCGATTCCGCCACCAAGGCTGCCCATGGCTGACCTCTAACGACAGTTTGCTGGAACTACAGGCACAGAGGGACGCCGCCAGGCGTCAGCGTGACCGGCATCACGACGAAGACTCCCAGCGGGAATACAAGCGCCTGCATGCTGAGTTCAAGCATCAGCTGGCCCTGGCTCGTCGAGACTTTTTCACGATGCCATCTCGATCCGGCAACCCTAAGGAGACGTGGAACAACTTGCGAAAGTTCGCACTCAGCGCGGGAGCTACCGATGATCAGGCAGCCAACGAGATTCGCCCAGACGACTTCAACACGTTCTTCGCTCGTGTCGGTTCCCGCGTGGCTGAGGAGCTAAGAGCGACTGGAGTTGAGCCAGTGCGTCCACGGCCACCGATTGTGTGTAGCTCAGCTTTCCGTGTGCACGTCGTGACACTGCCGGAGTTGAGCTCTGCCTTGCGGCGACTGAGTAGCAGCAGAGCGGCCGGAAGCGACGGTGTAACTGTGCAGCTTTTACGCGAGTGTTTCGAAGTAGTGGGTCCTATTGTGCTACATGTCATTAACCACTCGCTTTCAACCGGTGTCGTGCCCTCTCTATGGAAACATGCCACGGTGGTTCCGATCTATAAGTCAGGAGACAAAACGTTGCCAGCCAACTTTCGGCCAGTCAGTGTTCTAAATGTAATCTCAAAACTAGCCGAGAAGATTGTAAATTTGCAAATTTTGAGCTATCTAAATAGTAACAACATTCTGACTCCTACCCAGTTCGCCTATCGCCCTGCCCACTCGACGGAGGATGCTGCGCTCTGTCTAGCCAGCCGTATAGCTCACAACACCGATCGTGGCATGGTCACATCGGTGACGTCACTGGACCTCAGTAAGGCGTTTGATTGTGTCCAGCGTGGTGCACTGATGTCCAAGCTAGGATGGTATGGGATATCGACCCATTGGCTGGAGAGCTATTTCGCGAATCGGACCCAGACCGTGAAGGGGGGAACCAGCATCGAGGAGGTGCCGTTTGGTGTGGTCCAAGGCGGAACTTTGGGTCCCACCATGTTCAACCTGTTCATGAATGACCTTGTGGGCCATATTCAGTTCGGCTGGCTATCTAGTTATGCGGACGACAGCCAGCTAGTGCATTGTGCTGGACCTGATAATGTGACGCAGCTCAAACGTCACATAGAGTCCGACTTAGTTCAAATGTCTCGGTGGTTTCGCTGTAACGGGCTCAAAGTAAACCCCACCAAGACCGAGTTCCTGCTGGCTGGAACCCCAGCAAACACCGCAAGCGTATCAGATTTAGTTATGAACTTTGATGGTGTGTCACTTCAGCACTCAGAAAGCATCAAGATCTTAGGTGTCCATTTCGACTGTCACTTAAACTGGGAAAAACAGGTTAGCTCAGTGGCACAGAAGTGTAGTGGTGCTATTGTTTCTATTCGGAAATTGAATTTACCTCGGGAGACAACCAAAATGTTGATTCAGGCGCTGGTGTTCCCCACACTCATGTACTGTCTTCCTGTTTGGGCCCCCAAATCAAAGACTCTCAGGAAACGGATCGAGAAGGTGTTAAATTTCGCAGTCAGAACTGTCACAGGGCTCCGTAAATTTGACCGCGTCACGGAAGCCCGATTGGAGCTAGGCTGGCCTACGTTCGACGCGATGATCGATCTGCGCGATGTGCAGCGAATCTATCATGTAATGCGGCAGAGGGACGCATCTCGGCAGCTGAGGGCACTCGTTGAGACTCGGTCACAGGTATCGCTGAGACCGACGCGCTCCACCGCTGATGATACTACGCTACAAATCCCTAGGTGTCGTCTGCAGTGCACAAAAATGTCGTTCCCTCACCGAGCCATTGCGACTTGGAACCGCCTGCCACCGGATGTGAGGCAGTCGAGGGCGGCCAAGTTCAGGCGAAGCATACGCAGTTGTTTGGCGTCCAAATGATCCCGATAGGTATGTCAGTGTGGCTGTGTGACCTCTTACAATGATCTGCTCGCTTCATATTTTAACTTACTTTGATTGTGCTTGACGCTGGAGTGTAAGTGCCTGTGTGGTTTCTCCAAAGATAAGCAATACAATACATACAATACAATACACTTGGAGCCGGGAGTAGCGAGAGGGTCAATGGGTACATGTACCGTCGACTGTGTGTACAGCTCACACGGTGTTGGCCGGTGGTGTATGTACCGCTGTACTTTCTCCTTGGTTCGGAGGTGGGTGTGAGCTGTGTGAGCCGCTGTACTGGGGGTGCCGGGGTGGGTGTACCGCTGTACCCTCTCCGAGTACCCCTCTCTTACCGGCAGCTGGGTGGCTGGGCGCCGGGTGTACGTACTGCTGTGTACCGCTGTGTACCGCTGTGTACCCGCGCTGTACCTCCCCGGGTACCCCTCTCACCGGCAGCTGGGTGGCCTGCAGCGCCGGGTGCAGCAGTGGCGCGTGCTGCAGAGTCGTCGGTACGTCTGCGCCGTACGCCAGGGCCGGGTGGGCCTGCCAGATATCCGCGCCAGGACCGTAGAAGTTGCCCACATCTGCTGACCGACACAGGCACACGGTCACAGGGCGGGTCACAGGTCAAAGACCAAGTCATGGTCAAAGAGCGGCTCAAATGTCACGTAGAGCGTTACGGGTCACAAGAAGGCTCACAGGTCACTGAGAGGTCGAGAGGCGGCGTCAAATTTCAGGTCACAGGTCACTGAGCGGGTCAAACGTCACAGGCCGTGTCAAATGAGGTCAGAGATGAGACAAACAAAAATGCAGATATATATTGTCACTGCATGTATTTATAAGCAAAGGTGATAAAAAGAAGCTGATAATTCGGTAGTCTGATTACACTAAAATCATATGAAGCACGAAGCCCCGAGCAAATGTGTGCTTAGGGAGCTTTCTTGGAGCTTTCAAACTGATATGACAATAGTCCGTTGAATTTGATTTCGGTCTCAACGGCTCTGTCTTTGATTTCAGGAGTCCTGGGTCCTGGTCCGTTGGTGCTGGGTCTGAAGTCTGTCAATCCGGGGTCCCAGTCCCAGGGTGTCGGTGCGCTCAGTACTTACGTCCCGGTGTGAACGCGTGGTGCATCAGTGCTGGGTGCGGTGCGGCCGCCGACACCTGCTGCTTAGGCTTGCTCACTTTGGTGTTGCTCTTGGCAAACTCCAGCCGTATGGTCTGGGGTAGGTCGGGGTCGAAGCGAGCGCCCTATGGCACAGACGGTGACGTGATGAGTGCAGGCGACTGCAGACAGCCGCGTAGGGGGCTGCTGAGTGAAGGAAGTTAGTGACCGAGCGAACAGACTGTGAGAAATGGGGTGATGAACGAAAGAGGAAGAAAGAGAGACTTTCTAAGAGTAAAAAGAAGGCAGAAAGGAGTGGAGAAGGAGAGAGAGAAAGAGAAAGAGAGGGAGAGAGAGAGAGAGAGAGAGAGAGAGAGAGAGAGAGAGAGAGAGAGAGAGAGAGAGAGAGAGAGAGAGAGAGAGAGAGAGAGAGAGAGAGGCAGAGAGGGAGGGAGAGACGCTGAAGAGCACGTGGTACAACATGGTGTCGTGTCGAGGTGCGGCAGCGATACAGGCCCGGACGGCCGGCGGCGGCTGAAGCGCTACACATTGTCCGTGGTAGTCAACCGGTCCCGACCTCAGCCGACCGACGGCCATGCAAGCACAACGCACACCTCTGGTGATCAGTGGCCGCCTAGTCTGATACCGTGAGCGAGTGCGAACGAACAGGACCGTGAGCAGACTCAAGATACAACCGCCTCACCTAAAATGCATGTTCCGACTCTCAGTGAAAAGCTTTATACTATTCGAGCTGAAATGCGATCAATGATTGACAGCTGCAAAAATACGTAGTGATGTTTGTTGTAGGTCGCATTTTTCATAAAGCATTTATCATATTAAATATAGGAACGGCCGCAGCTGTTGATAAGTTTGCTGCTGGTGATGCTGGTGAAAGTGACGGTGGTGATGGTGATGGTGGTGTCGGTGTCTGCAGGTGTGCCTGGTGGTGACTGGTGAGCAGTGCTCGTCGAGAGCAGCCCGGCCCGTCGACACCCACCTGGGCCCTGTTCTTAGCGATCTCCGCCTCGTCCCGTGTGTTGAATTTGACGAAGCCCACCGGCGACGAGGTCTTGCCGTTTTTGCTGGTAACGTTCAGAGACGAGCCCTCGTAGCCCTGGAACGGGGCGGTCGGCGTCAGGGGGACTCGGCGGAGTGAGCGAACAAAATACATCCCTACACTGATTACTCTGCATGGAGTAATGGGCATACCTATTTCTCAATATTCCATGAACATCAGATACAGCTCTCGACACTCCAATTCTGTGTACCTCCCCAATAGTTGTAGCGGTCACACGAATAGACCTCGTAACGTGACGCCTACTTACCTCGTACTCCCTGAAGAGAAGGTAGAGCTCGCGGGGTTTGGCGTCCATAGGCAGGCCAGACACGAACAGGGTACGAACCTGCGGCACACGGACGCACAACGGTCGTAAATGGCGTGGGGCAAACAGGCTTTGAAGTTTATGGTCGGAGTTGACGGCTTAGTTTGCTCCCAAGAGTAACGTCTCAACGCATTCGATATTACTCAAGCAAAGGCAATAGAAACGGTCATTCTCAAAGCTAATTGCTGTTATACACGGTATCATGATTAGAGTCAATGATAGGATCACATCGATGTGATCCTATCATTGACCTTCTATGAGCGATATCGATGCCATCGGTTGCGGCTGGATGCAGACCACCCCGTGCGTGACCACCCGGTGCAGCTAAATCCAACCACCCTCCGTCGGTTGCTACAACAAAGTCGTCGATATCGGCATCGGAGCTCCATGCCAGACGGCAAAATCCGTCGGCGAGCCTAACCCGACACCACGTGCACCTGGTGGCCGAGCGATTCAAGCCAGTCCATGTGCGTGGGGAGCAAGTGTAATTTTCGGGAGGTTCAACTTCAGGCACACGCCTACGCAGTTTGCAATCAATTGCTTACCTATCTGCAACGACTTGGAGCGCGACCTGCTCAGAAATCGCGAAATTTGCTCAGTTACACTTTCGCAAATAAATTACCAAAATGTGGCATTGTCCACGCCTGCTTTCTTCTGAGCTCGACATGCGCAATTTTATATGCATTGGAGAGAACGGAATAGCCTGATGGGTAGATGCCATGTTCGATAAGCATTTGATGACCTCAGGCCTAGGTACGCTCAAAACATTATGTATTATGGGTAAGGCCTGGTCTACCACTTCCATAGACCAGCGCTCATCACTTTAGCTGAACGAAAACTTTCAACGCATGCCGCTAACGCAATGTGCAACGTGCATCCCATATTCACAAAAAGTTCAACAATATTCGGAACTACGAGCCCATTCGCCAATCAATATCCAATCGCCCACAATAGGTATGCCACCAGCCCACTCCTGTCCGTCCGGCACCTGCGCCCCTCCCCCATCCCCGGCGGTCAGTTTGTTCATCATCGGTTTACGGCCAATCGACACAGACATGACAGACAGCCGGCCGTGCGCTGTCATTGTTCTGAGTCACTCGCGCCGCGCCGCCGTCCTATTTGTTCGCCGTTACGGCCGTCCGAGTGCCATGGGTAATTGACGGCTCCATACGGGTCTGCACACAACAGTCGGCAGTGGCCGTCAAAGGACCGCCACTGCCGTGCAGTGAGGGATAGGAACGGGTGGTGGGGAGATGGGAGGGAGAATGGTGTAGTAGTATGGCACGGAGGGCAGTTGGCAATTCTCAGCTGCTCACTGACCCGAAATGCATACCCAAACGTCCCCTCACTGGCGCAGGGAGGACACCGCCCATCGGTGGCTTGGGGGAGGACACCGTCGCTCATCAGCTCGTGGGGGAGGACACCGCCCATCGGTGGCTTGGGGGAGGACACCCTCCTCCCCCACTGGCTTGGGGGAGGACAACGTACCTCACCAGCGCAGGGAGGACACCGCTCATCGGAGGCTTGGGGGGAGGACACCGCCGCTCACCAGCTCGCGGGGGAGGACACCGTCCATCAGTAGCGCGGGGGAGGACACCGCCCACCGGTGGCGCGCGCCGGAAGCGTCACAGACGCTGGCGTCGCGCCGTTACCGGCACGGCGCGGTTAGTTCGGCATGAGCGGCCGTCTGTATCGGTCCGGCACCGAGCGGCACGAGCGACGTCCGGCGCCGCCGCCGGTGCCGGAACCAAGGGACGGAGACGGACGGTACGGACTACGGAGACGGCACACAGACGGGACGGACGATATTCGGTTGAGACCGAGGGCCTACGCAGGACTGGTGAATCAAACGCACAGGGGATGGAGTCAAACTGGGCTGGTATTCATAGCCGCAAATTTGAGGAGCCCCACCGTCGTCCAAAAGTACTCCTGACCTCATCATTCATCATCTTGCGGCCTTCACGCGTGCAAATTACAGAAAAGCGCCGCCCACGGCAATGCGGCACAGCATAGCTTGCAGGCGTTTATACTAGCGACATCTGTTACTGGAATTTAAAGCTATGCGGAACAGCATAGATGCAGGCGTTTCACACTAGCGACATCCAGGGGCGCGGGAACTACTTTCCGACTGGGGGGGCACACCATAATAGAGATCAACCTAGGGTACCCCCAAATCTAGTTTTCTCACCGGTTTTAGGCCACTTATTTTTCACCCCTCGGCTTTTTCAACAAAAAAAGAAAACATTTGCAAAAAAAGTGTGGTATTCCGTCTCCAAGCTGTGGGGGCACCGCCCCCACGGCCCCAGAGTTGGGGGGGGCAAGCTGCCCCCACTGCCCCCCCGGCTCCCGCGCCTATGGCGACATCTGTTAGGAATTAAATCATACGGGATAGCACGCATGCGGGAGGTTTGCAGCCATGGCATTTGGAGATATTTATTACATTTACATCACAGAGGCTTGTTTCTTTTTACAGGTGACGACACAGAACGAGTCTATTGTGATGCCTTGGTTGCAATTTTTCTCTACGCAACCAAGAAATCCCGGCACCGAGAAAATAAAGAGCGCTCTCGCTGTTTCGGTAATTTTCAATGTGTAGTAATGTCATCCAGGTCATCAGCGGTGTCGCAGGCTCCGGCTTGCCTCTATTATGAATCTGCAGCATGTGTGCAAAATGTTATTCAACAAAGCGTCCATGGGTGCACTGTATGGAACTACAAGTTCCTTGTGCACGAGAAGCGTAGCGATCCATGATGAGAATGAGATATGTGTTAAAGTAGTCATTGCCAAAAAGATAAGAGAGTCAGAGCACTAGCCACTAGGCAAAAGACAACAAACACAATATGTGGCGTGCTCTACAAGACTGATCTATATGTCGATCTTCTATGCGTCAATTTACTCCATCAATCCATTATGCTCTCTATAGGGTATGCTGCCGTGTTCCCTAGCAGGAGACTGTCCACTCCACCTAACCTCACCTAAAGTGACGCATCATACCTGCCCCACCAGACGTCACGTTTCACGTGGGCTCTATCTGCGGCGGTGCCGTCACGTCACGTGTCAACTGTCACCGACAGCGGCCGGTCAGCACGTGACGGACACAGAGGTGTGACAGTCCGGGGTTCGGACATGTCGGGTGCCGGTGACTGGCCGCCCACGGTCCGACACATGACCACGGCGCGGTAACGGTAGATCGGGGAGGGGGACAGGGACAGACTGACAGGGGACTGGGGAGACTATTGTGTCTTGCCAGAAAGGCGACTTCGAAAACGAAGGAACTTCTGTTCAGGGCTGCGGAGTCGGAGTCGGAGTCGGAGTCGGAGTCGGTCGGAGTCGACAGTTGTGACCGGAGTCGGAGTCGGAGTCGATTTTAGAAACCCGAGCCGGAGTCGGAGTCGGAGTCACCGAAAATCTGTCGACTCCGCAGCCCTGCTAGGTCTGCGGAGTCGGAGTCGGGAGTTGGAGTCGGTCGGAGTCGACAATTCTGCTCGGAGTCGGAGTCGGAGTCGGAGCTGGTTTTTGGAAGCCGGAGTCGGAGTCGGAGACGGAGTAGCCGAAAATCCATCGACTCCGCAGCCCTGCTTCTGTTAGCCCCGGGTATACAGCGCAACCGTCATGCCGGCGTTTTGAAAAAGTCTCTGCTGCTCAACTGCTCCCTGTGGCGAAGTTGGTTCGTCCCCACGTGTTGCTTTTTCAGCGACGCTGAGTGGGGACATCCCAGATCACGACCGGGCAGAAACGGCGGCCAATGGTGCGTGAAATTAGATCGGTGTCGCGGGGTGACCCTGCAGCTGGGACGGGCCCGCCTCCCCGGCTGGGTCGTGCCTGTCCTCCCCTCCCATCTGAGGGGGGCGGCTCGGCCAGAGCCGGCGGAGCGGGACTGCCCCCAGTCTGGGTCTGCAAGCCAGTGTCCGGCGCGCCGGCCCCAGCCCACTCCGTCAGCGCCCGGGGAGGGGAGGGGAGGGGCGCAGGGTGACAGGTCAGCAGTGCACGTGCAGCGCTGCACTCGGCAGCCCGTCACAGCCGACAGTCACGCCGTCACTCTCTGTGACGCCGCGTCACGACACGGCAGACAGAGAGCGACGCTGACTCGCTGATGGATGAAATCATACCCCGGAGACGGAACATGACTCGAGCTGCAGCAAGCTGGCCTCCCAGACAAAGTTCTCATTCAACTGTATCTCGATCGACCGTCTACGCATATTTCTGTGTGGGAATATGAACAGGTATTACAGCCCGTGGTATTACTCAGTCAGAGTTCAACCAAAGGCCCAGGGTATACTGCAAGCAGTGTTCTGCAGTAGCATCCGTTTCAAATTCGCTCCATTTCAGCTTCAGTTCACTCCTAATCCAGCTCCAGTTCAAACATATCTCAGCTTCAATGGATAAACATCGTCGCCCCCGTCCCACCCAGTCTAACCATCATACCATCATCACATCCCAGCCGAGGCGGGCGCGATCGGGCGCCGTGCCGCTCTGTCCTGTAGCCGCCGATATATAGGGTTACCAGCTCGGTTTCCGCCGATAACCCGCGTCATCAGCGCCACTCGGCCCACCGGACACCGCCGCTTGGATCCCGGCCGGGAGTCGCCGCTCGGTCGGAGCGCGCCGCCGCTGGTTTTCTGGTCGGCTGGAGGTGTTTCTCAGAGAGCTGTGGGACGGGACTGACTTCCCGACCGATTGTCAGCTCAGCAGCGGCCGGGCTCAAACGGTGGACGGCTCAGGAGCCCGGTGATCGACTGGGGGCAGAGGCTGCATCGGCCGTAGGCGAGACGACTCCGATACAATGGCCGCCTTGATGACAGAAGGATATGCCGTGCAAAGGTCCCACACTGACTTCTGAGGCAGGTCGTAGCAGAGGCTTAGACCACGAACGCTGTAGTCATCAATGATTCTTCTACATTGTGCGGCGTCAATGATCAGTGATTAACTACGTCTATTAGAGCCAGCATCTGACTAGATTCCAGAGCGATATCTTATCTACAACTCAGTGAGCTGCATCTGAGCGAGAATCTCGCCAGATCACAGGGCAGGCGGCCTCTGGTCCGTGAACTATAACTGAGCTATGTGAGCTGTGCCTAACAGTAAGTCGACCGCACCTCCGGCAACTCACGATAGTCCGTGACTTCGTAGAACTTGAGCCGTATCTAACTCAAGTGAGCTGTATCAGAGCCAGCATCTGGCCAAATATCAGGACAACTCTTCCGCAGCTCCGTGAGCTAAATCTACACTAAGGGTGCAGTTTCGGCTCTTAGCGTGCTTCATCGGAGCCAGTATCTGACCAGCTCCCCGGCGGTCTCTGGCCCGTGCCCCGTGGCTCCGCCATCATTTATCCGTCGGCTGGCCACCCGCGGAGAGCACGGGGCGGCCGCTCGGATGGCGTCGACGACACCGGCGGGACCGGGCCGTGAGTGTCGACCACGGTCCGCGGAGCCGCCCCTCCCAGCTGCGCCACAGCTCAGAGCTCTCTGTGAGCTACGACCGCGGAGCTACCCGGCTTACTCGGCCCTACCTGTCAACGTCCAATCCACCACAGCTCAGCCCTCTACGAGCTCCGAAGGGGTGGGTTGGGGGGGGAGGGGGGGTGGACCCCGCCTCACTCGGTCAACCCGTGTCACACCCTGGCTTTGCCGCAGCTATAGCTTCACTCTGCTTCCCGACCTGGCCATCTACCACAAGTCCCCTACTGATGCTAAAACACAAGACAATTTCAACTTCCAATGCATTAATATTTTACAAATGTCGTTTGAACAAGATCGCAGTAGGAAGATGTTAAAGCTCTGCTTCAGACCGCCCAGCTGAGGCTATCGTAGAACGCAGGCACCGAGCGCTGTGGGCTGGCAGGGAACAGCGCTCCAGAGCCACCGTTTGATGTGGGTTTATAGCGGGGACCGCCGGGACGGGTCGTTCGGTCACAGGTCCCACTGTACCAGCGCGGTCGGCAGTTTCCGTCATCAGATCCGAGCGGGCCGCCGCGCCGCCGGCACCGGATATACCCCGGCCATGGCTGGTCCAGCCGGGCCGGTGCGACATGTGATGAGGTGAGCATTAGGATCGGATGTAGGTGAGCGTTAGGGTCAAATGGGGGACAGTGAGCATTGTGATCGGATGGGGGGGGAGCAATAAGGTGAGATGGACCAAGTGCCTTAATTAACTCGAGTAATGTCATGAATTGGGTGGAGTTGGTGTCATGACATACAGGTCGTAGAGGGTCTGGAATGCCAGAAATATCTACGATATGTAATAGTTATTAGATGGAAAAGGGTGGTTTTGGAAGGACAGATAGACGGTACAATAATTGCCCAGCATAAATGAGGAGTAAGGGGAGATAGATATAAGTTTACGTGGAAGGAAAAACAGATGAAAAAAGGTAGCACATGCCGGCGACCAAGGTGCGACCAAAGTGAAAAAGTCGTGGCAGGCACACCATTGCAGCCCGACTCGGAGTGGACGCGGTACCTTTACCCAGAACGCGGCGGGACACGGCGGATCCACGGCGGGCCGTCAGGGCCGGTCACGCCATCGTCACCGTCAGCAGGGACGGGAAGCTCTACCGGGGCACCATCGATCGCCGACCGCGCCGTCCTACGGCTTCGGGGTCGGCGCGGCACGGCGGCGGCCGGCACCTTTTTACCCCGGGCAGCCGGCTGGCCGTGCGACTGACCGGGCGGGGTGTGGGTCTGACCGGCCGCCCGGTGCGCGCGGAGGCCTCTCCACGGCCCGCTGCCGGCGGAAGGGGGCCGTTCCGGTGCGCCGGACGGTCGGTTCCGGTGGCAGCCCGGTGTGTCGGTCGGGCGGTGCCGGCCGGGCCGGCTGACCACACCCGGCCCACGGTCACCGACCGGCGCCGCCGCTCACACCGACCTCCGTGGGGACACGGCACGCTCCCGGGTCGTCCGATATAGCCTCATACCGGGACCATAGTTGAACAGAGATAATATTATAGTAAGGCATAGGTAGTATGATTTGGAGAACAATAGAGCATACTCGAGAAACGGGTTTCCAGTCCCACGCTGAAGTTAGTTGTCTTATCAAACAGTCACGATCAACGATCATTACATTATCACAAGGCGGGACAGAACGGCAGCGCATGCCTATGAAATGATTGACGGAGTGTCAGACAGGAGCGGGCCCAGCGGCCGTGCCGGCGGGTTCCGAGGGCCGCGCGCCGGTGCGTGTGTGGAGGGAGGGGGGCCGAGCGGGGCGCCCGTCTCCGAACCCTCTAATCAGTGTCTGTGCGGCTTCCCGGCGGGGTGGCGGGGGTCGATCGCGGTCGGGGGCCGCACGGAAAAACGCCACCGGCTCGCCGGTGCCGGCGGCGGCCGCCAGCTGAGCGTCGCTGCATTCCCGCCCGGTGATCAATACGGCCGCGGCGCTCACCTGGGACCGCCGGCGGCCGGCGGACGGCCCGCCCGGCGCCCGGGCAGCGCACACACTCACCTCCTCGTCTCCTGTGGGACTCATCACCACGTCCAGGCCGGGGCTCAGACACGAGTCCATGGTGGCGGCGGCGCGGGCGGCGGTGCGGTGCGGTGCGGCGCGTGGTGGTCCGGTCGGCGCGGCGCACCACTAACGTCTGACGGAGCGGCCGGCGCGCCGCCGTGCTCGGCGCAGCACGGCGGCGGCGGGCGCGGATCCGGCCGCACCGCCGCGCCGCCGCCGACGGACGGTCCATCGACCGACCGACGGCAGTGGCACCGACACACCGGAGCCCGGCGGCCGCAGCTCCGCACCGTAACCAGGCCCGACGACTCTGCAACATTGCGTCCCAGCGGTCAGTCGACTACAATTGTATGTCGGATTCAATCGTCGGAGTCTTGGAGGAAAATAACGAGGCACGTCGGTTCCGCTGGCCGGTGACGGTCACTGCGAACGGAACTCTGCATCGGTTTGGGGCATGGATACGAACAAAATTCCCGAGGAATGTTCTCGGTAATTCGATAAAACTCATCAAAGCAATGCAAATTTTGGGTGCCCTATTATCTCATGACTCATTTCTCTAGCAAACTTTCGAGTACCATGGGCCGCAGCTGAAATGCAGCAATAGCTTGACAGAAATATTACCCAAATATTTTAGCACAAGCCGACGGCGGCATCCAATGGAGTTAGCTACGTTCATTTAACAACTGTAGATTCAAACAAAATGAATCGATAGGAATCGGACAAATACAGTCCCGACGCGGCACACTTGTGGCAGTGTACAAAACGAAATGAATGAAATGATACCGGGGGTCCCGGGACTTCAGATGCTGGGTTCGCGGCAGAGAAGGAATGACCAACTCGGCCCCGGTCTACCAAAACTGGGAAGAGAATAGACGAAATAGCTAATACTTCACGCGCTGAGTGGGGGCACGATAAAATACAAATAAGAATAATTCGTGGTGTGCACTGCGAACATGGTGCATAAATCGATGACTTTTGAGACCCACACACGTGCATAGACATCGTTCAAAAAGGAGTTGTATTCCAAAAACCAAGTTAGAAAGCGGCTTCGTAAGAAAAATATAATTAGGACACAATAAACTTTTGAATGGACACAAAATGAATGCACAAAAAAGATGATCAAATGCATGGATTTCGTTCAACAGATGACGAACTTGTAATATACTGCAATTAGTTCGAGCAAACAGTGGATAATCGAACGCTGATCCTTGCAGCAAAAACTTAACTTTATCTTGATATCACAGACACTGTTAAAACAAATCAGAGACAGCCAAACGCGATGAGATTCCCCAGTAATTGCATTTACGAAGCACATTGTACTCGTTGCAGCACAGCTTTGTTAAAAATTGTCCGCAAATGACGTTATTGAAAGCTCTATACAAGCGTACCGTCAATAAGCACACCGAGCGGCCGGTCGTGCCCGGCCGGTGGCCTGCCGTGCGCGGCGCTAATTTACCATTGTCGGCCGTAGCGGCGAGCGGTCGCGTCGGCGGGCCGGCTCGTGACGGCCCGTCACGCGGCGCCATCCTCGCGCAGCAGCAGGAAGTTGATGGTGATGGGCAGGTGGATGTCGCGCGCGTGCTCGCCCACCTCGTCGGCCCACGACTCCATCTCGACGGGCCGCGGCACGACGCGGTCACCGTAGTAGTCGAGCGCCTGCAGCTGCGGCCGCTGGCGCACCACGCGCTCCACCACCACGTCCTGCACGTCCGAGCACTGCTCCAGGTTCAGGTAGCGTAGCTCGGGCAGACGCTCCGGGATCAGCCGGAAGCACTGGCCCGTGATGCGTACCAGTCCGATCAGGTCCATGACGCGCATGAAGCGCAGCCGCGTCACGATCCGCTCCAGGCCGGCGTCGGTGACGTCCCAGCACCAGCTGAGCGCCAGGAAGGTGAGCAGCGGACAGTTGGCCGTCAGCGCCTCCACCGTGCTGTCGTCCAGGTTCGAGCACTCGCTCAGGTCCAGGTGCAGCAGGTGCGGCATGTTCTGCCCGGTGAACAGGCGGCCCAGCGCCGCGGCGCTCAGCTGGTTCCCGCGCCGGATCTTGAGCCGCATCAGGTCGTGCAGCGATCCGAGGGCCGGCAGGCTGGAGTCCGTCATGCCGTCGGCGAACGAGATGCACAGCTCCTGCAGGTTCCGGCAGCGGCCCAGCGCGCGGAACCCGGCGTCGGTGAGGTTCTCTCCGTCGAGCACCAGGGAGAGGAGCCGGTCGCCGGCCTGGTCCACCAGCTCCTGGATGGCGGCGTCGGTGAGGTAGCCGATGCCGTCCACGTTGAGTTCCTCCAGGTGGCGGCAACGGCGCGCCATCTGGACCAGCTCCGCGTCCTCCAGGCGCAGACAGTGCGAAACGTTCAGCGCGCGCAGGTGCTCCAGACCAGTCAGCGCCGCCGTGCAGTCGGCGTCGTCAAACCGAGAGCCCTCGAAGTTGACACGCTCGAGAAGCGGGCAGTGTTTGACAAGCACCTCGAGCAGTAGTGAGTTGAGACCATCGCAGAATCTGGCCGTCAGAGAGCGCAGCTGTTTGCAAGTGTCGGCCACTTGGAACAGGATCTTATCCACCTGGCGGCGGGCCTCGAGCCGCAGTGATTTCAGCAGCGTGCTGAAGGAGAGGATGTTGACGACGGTGCTGGTCGGTACGAGGTTGTCGGCGTCAAAGGAGAGGTGCTGCCACAGGACGGGGTCGCGCCCCAGCTGGTACCAGTGCCGACAGACGGGCAGCACGCTGGTGCACAGTTCCCGCGCCGTCAGGTTGGAGAAGACCAGCACCTGCAGCTCCGGCGGCAGCCCCTCGAACGGGAACGGCTCCTGCGGCGGCGGCGGCGACTGCGCGCCGGACGGCACCATCACCTGCAGCTGCTTCACCAGCTGCTGCTTCTGCTCCTCAGTGGCGCCGTCCAGTTTCATCATCTCGACCGTGTGCCGGCAGAGCCGCTCCAGCTGCGGGTCGGCGGCCGCCGCGCCGCTCGGCCCCGCCACCGGGCTGTCCTCGCCGCCCGTGCGGGTCACGCACACGGCGCACTGACAGCACGGAGGCGGCGGCCGAGCGCCGGCCGCGTCCGCGGTCCCCGGCACCTCGCCCTCCTCGGCGCGGCGCCGCTCCACGCTGACATCCTCTCCGACGCTGTGCTGGCCCAGACTGAGCACACTGGGGGTCGGCTGCTCGCCAACGCTCAGATGACTCCCGGAAGGCTGAGCGCCACCACTGGCCAAAATCTGGCCCTCACTGAGCACCCTCACCGCTGGAGGGTGGTGGGAGTGGTCTGAGCCTGTGGCCACCAGGCCCGGTGAGCTGCTGCGCCTTAACGCTGCCCCTGCAGAAGCTGTCCTTCCTGCTGCAGATGGCTGTGGCTGAGCAGCATCAGTTGCAGGAGACTCAGGTGCTGCCTGAGCATTACTGGCAGGAGTCCCTGATGGCTCAGCCACATCTCTGCTGCTCATGGTGCCATTCTGGAAACAAGTTTATGAAAACATATGAAATAGGAGTAAAGTACAGACACCATTTCAAATGACAACACAGTCACTAGTATGGGTGTCAATTACCGCTGAGTTGGGGGTGCCCAGGGGCGGCAAATCTGCAGCTGCCCTAGCGGCAACCTTGAATCATTGACTGGTGCCATCTGTTACGGCTCCAAAGCCAGGCCGGCTGAACCGACGTGGAATTTGGAGTGCTTGGGCACCCATATTTGGCGGAAATTGACACCCATGTTCACTAGTTTGTTTCCTAGACCTACAACATGAAAGAATAAGTGCCACCACAAAACACCTAACTCTTATCCTTTACTTCATAAGCTCGCCATTTATTTATGTTTAGCTCTGTACCTAAAAATGCTTCAAAAGGGTCATACCTACGTGCCAGGAAACAAGATCAAGATGAGCATGTTAATGTTGATGTTCAAAAAAAAAAAATGACGACTAGGCAGTAGGCACATATACGGTCCGCACTCACCGATAAAATATCCGAAGGCTGTCAAGCTACCTTCTGGAGCGAGTTATACATGCTATCTTCATTGCCTAAGAAGGGCTCGACAGAATCCTTGGACAGAATACCTAACTATTCCATATTTTTACTTCGTCGCTTTGCTGTAAGCGTATGAAGAGAAATATTTTTTTTTGTTATGCGCCAATTTGGTCTCAAGCTAATTGTAGCTTTCTCTAGAAAAACTAAGTGATCAGTTTTTCTACGTAATAAGCCAAAGAGCCAATGATCGCTCAGTGTTGCATTCTATTTTAAAATTTTTGGACATTGGTCTACAAAAAATGGAGAAATTTTTAATTTTCACACTCAATTTATGTAACATACCACTTAGGAATAAGATTTGAATGCAACCATTGACAGAGCCAGAGTTAGAAATAAAAGTTTTATGACGTCATCAAAATAATGAATGCTTCTCCGCCTCCTTTTCCCAAACTTGTCGAAAATAGCGGACGGAGCGGACGCATTCTCTCGCACTCCACGCTCACAGATAAAAAAGAGCCAGAGTGTGAAACGTTCGAAGTTTTGTGTGATTTTCGTGTAATTTTCGTAACTTTAGTGTGTAGAGACTAGAGGTATGCTCTCAGCTTACGAAATCAATGGCGTGCATAGTTAACTTAACATCCTTGCACAATTGTTACCTCGCAGCTCATGCCTTTTCTAGCACTTACAAAACGTTAGCTTTATTTGTCAATTTATATACAATCAAATTATTATCCAAAATATGATTTTTTCTCATATCAATATTGATTTTCATAGATAGTTAGGAAGTAATGTTTTTCCGTTAGCTCAAGCTGATTTCAGTGACCCTTTTAAAATTTAATGGTAAATATGTGAAAATGAAGTGGCAAGTTTGTTCTCGTGCAGAAAGCTTTTGCTCTGAGCTTGGTTGATGCGGAACAATGTCATGCTAAAAGCATATGACAGCAAAATAAAATATATAAGCTAGGATATGAATATCCTAGAGGAACAATCATATGCTCACTGCCTTTAGAATTCTAAACTTAGCCTAAAATGAATGATTTTATTTTGAAGACATTCCTTCTTCAGTTCAAAATTTAAAGTTGCCTAGAATAAGATTAATATTGATTTTTAACCTGTTCATAAAACTTTTATGAAAAGTCTTTTACTGCTATGTTATTGTGCCTTTTGGGCTTGATAACAATGAAAATGGAATACTTACATATTAGGTACTTGGTGCATACCTACTGCTGATAATGGATATCACAAAATGCTGGCAAAGCTTTTATGGAACCTGTGAATTTATTTTCCTTGTTCTCTGGTCATCTGGCATCTTTTCCTGTTTCAGGCTTGCCATCATGGGTGACAACATTATA